GTTTAAAGAATTCTTTTTTCACCCTGACTGGCAGTGAATTGAGTGCCGGCCCATGAACCGAAAGGTCACAGGTTCAATTCCTGGTCAGGGCACATGCCTGGGTTGCGGGCCCGGTCCCCAGGTAGGAGGCATGCGAGAGGCAACTGGTCCATATATCTCTTGCACATACATCATTTCTCTCTTAAATCAGTGTTTCTCTCCTCTCTTCCTCCTTTTCCCTCTCTCTAAAAAATAAATAATTTTTTAAAAAATAATAATAAAGAATTCTTTTTTTCATTCCTCAGGCACATAGAACCAATTAAAGACTAAATCAAACAGACAGGTACTTAAATCACAAACATAAAAGTCTGTCTAGAACCTCAGTGCGTTCTGTGGTTGAAAATTGGAAGAATGCTGGTGCCTACTCCTTTTTCTTAGCTCTGAGCCATACATTTTTTTAAAAACTTCCTCCTTCTTCATTTCCCTTATTTTTAAAAAGCAACTGGTAGGCCTCAACCTAATACACCCTCAATTCATCTGAAAACCACTAAAAATATTGTTTATTGTAGTAATGATGACTCAGAGAATCCTGGGAGGCAGTGCCAGTTTGGGTCATAATGGGCTTCTGTCTCTAAGGGCTATAGTTGTCTCGCCTCTTCGTGTGGTCATTCGTAACATGTATGTACATTTTCAATATATTTTACTTAAGTTCTAATTTGTCACAACTGTTGACATTGTTTGCCTTGTGGATTTTTCTAACGTCTCATCAGAGCAGACTGATCGTTTCCTCTCACACCGGCGTTTAGGTCAACGGCTGTCTGCTGGACCCGGTGCCTCCTGTCCTGGTAAAAAAGGGGTGCCAGTCGCTGCCCAGCAACATGATGGAGACCTCCATTGATGAAGGGTTGGAGGCTGAAGGAGAGGCTGAGGAAGACCCCGGTCAGGCCTTTGATGCATTCCAGTCCACACGCAGTGGGCAGAGGCGGCACACTCTGTCAGAAGTGACCAATCAGCTGTTCATGATGCCTGGTTCAGGTATGGGATCTGTTAAGCCTCAGGTCAAGTTTTCACAGTATCAACTCACAGTCCAATCTCTAAGAAATAGCAATGATACCAACCAGTTCCTAGAATGAAGTCCATAATGGAGGATTCCCCCTATGGAAGTTAGTCTGTCTTTTCTGTCGTGCACAGCATTCAGTGGGCTAAAGGAGTGGGCCTGCTCAGCAGCTACAGGGAGTGAAGTGGGTCGTCTGAATTTGCCCCCTAACTCCCAGACTTAATGAGTGCCGTGGGACTCCTCAGGGACCCTGGCACTTTGAGAGTGGCAAAGATCTGGCGCGTGTGGGTTCTGTGGTGTTCTCTCCACTCACTTCAAAGCTGATTACATTGACAGGTAAAAAGGTTCTGAAAAGATGTATTGATTGGAAATTAAGGACATTGTATCTGTGAGAACTCAAGCTGGCTACGCTTTGTATCTCCTGTTCAAAAAGTTGCTGTTTGCTATTGTCACATCTGTTTGTTTTCTCTTAAAGGAAAAATTTTCTCTATGAGTGACAACCCCTCCCTTGACAGTGTGGACTCTGAGTATGATATGGGGTCTGTTCAGAGGGACCTGAACTTTCTGGAGGACAACCCTTCCCTTAAGGACATCATGTTAGCCAACCAGCCTTCACCTCGCATGACATCTCCCTTCATAAGCCTGAGGCCTACCAACCCAGCCATGCAGGCTCTGAGCTCCCAGAAAAGAGAGGCCCACAACAGGTCGCCAGTGAGCTTCCGAGAGGGCCGCAGGGCTTCAGATACCTCCCTTACCCAAGGTAACCGGCTGCTTTCCCTTCTGGCTTTTAAAACGCTGATTGGTAGGAGTTGAAGGGGCATGTTGCCATGTTGATACCATACCTGTGATCACTAAAAGGCCTTGTGTGTTATTTAAACTGTTTGGTCATTGCACTTTCTTCCAGGAATTGTAGCATTTAGACAACACCTTCAGAATCTGGCTAGAACCAAAGGAATCCTCGAGTTGAACAAAGTACAGTTGCTGTATGAACAAATAGGATCAGAGGCAGACCCGAACTTGGCATCAGCTGCTCCTCAACTGCAAGACCTGGCCAGCAGCTGCCCTCAGGTGAGTGCCCCAGGCCCTCTCCACAGTGGCTCTGTGCGTGTGGGGAGTGTTTGGTCTGAAGATGCATCATGTCACTTAGAGGATTTACTCCAGTCCTGGAATAAACAGGTTCTTTTGGAAAACTTGCCTTGTTGCTGCCACTGGATACTGTCAAGCTGTATGTGGTTCATGGGGCAGATTTTATGTGAATTACCTCTCATAGTCTCTCCTTTGGACTCCCATACCCCCCAGGCGCATACACAAAAATTAAGAATAACAAACTTTACCCAGATGAGATTATTGCCACTACTTTTGATGTGCTATCACTTTATTAAATATTGAAAATAGATTATTTATGCTAAAGATACAAAAAATACTGCTATTTTATCTAGTAAGTTTTATTATGAGCACTATTTTTAGTGCATCAGAGATACAGCATTGCCCACATGCAGGTAATGACCACCTGGTGACAGAGCCTTTGCTCTAGTACCGACTAGATAATCGTTCACATCAGGGAACCCATGTATGGATTTTCTGCATGATGATTAACTCTCAGCCTACTGGTATGTAAAAGCTTTGAGTATTGTGTCTTACAGAGTTGGAGTTCCTCTTGGACATTTGCCAAGGTGCTTCAACTAAAAACTAAAACCTTTCCTACAAGGAGAATTGAAAATATCTTCACCCCCTTGCTCCTCAGGAGGAAGTCTCTCAGCAGCAGAAAAGTGTTTCCGCTCTCCCCACCAGCGTGCACCCTCAGCTGTCCCAGCGGCAGAGCCTGGAAGCCCAGTACCTGCAGCACAGACTCCAGGTGGGGCCTCCCCTTGCTGCTCCAGCTCACTGTGCTGGCCCAGAAATGGCCTTTCTGCACAACAGAAACCTCTTTTGCTTGTTGTCTTTTTGTTTGTTTTTAGGGTAGCAGTTTGATTCTTTATGAACAGGTACTTTGATGGTGCACTTCTAGTTTCTAGAAGCATGTTCAGACTTAGCATTATGCTCTGTGTTAGTGGTGGGTTTGTCCTCAGGCCCCGGGAGAGGACAGCACTGCAGAGGGGCAGGAAAGGGAAACATGGCTTTTAAGGTGATGCTTCATAATGAATAATAAATGGAAATCTCACATCTGCAGATTTTTAATATCAGTTATCTACATTGGTTCCTGTTCAGTCAGCGGTGCTGAAGCCTTTGTTATCAATATTCAGCCCCGCTTTTCTCATTGTTTTTAAAATCTCCACAAACCTCACAGTTTTAGGGGGCTTTTAGAAACAGAAACTGCAGTAGGTTAGAGCTGAGACAGCTCAGGCTTGCTGACTCAAAGCTGTTAGCCCCAAAGCTCTACCAGGGTCTCAGTGAGCAAGAATCATCAGTCGCCTCTCACCCCTTCTCTACATGGATTTTGGAGGACACACTGGGCTTCACCCTCCAGGTAGCGGTACTGTCTGATGACCACGTCCTAGACGGTAGTACACTGTCATGCTTATACTGTTTTCTGCTCTTGCAGAAGCCCAGCCTTCTGTCAAAAGCCCAGAACACCTGTCAGCTTTATTGTAAAGAACCACCACGGAGCCTTGAGCAGCAGCTGCAGGAACACAGGTGAGAGAAGGTCTTTGGCCAAAGAAGTCACTCTCTTTTGTGGAACACTTAAGAATGCTGGGTGTGTGTCTTTTCTCCCTGGTGTTTGCTCTTCTAGGAAAATAGGCTTTTGATGCATGAGCCAGCCTTCAAGACATGGTCACTAATGTGTCCATGGAATATGGGCCGATCAGGGGCTAGCAGCTCTAAATGTGATTTGTTTTCCTTTTCTTCTCACATTTCCCCTTTGAGTTAAGAGTAGACCTCAGCTTTCAGAATCCACGACCTAGTGCCGGCTAAGTGGGTGACACTGTGGAACAGGTCTCCACCCTCCCTTGCAGTAACCCCTGCCCCTCAGGCCTCACTGCTCCATCAACCGAAGACGCCCGTCGAGGCCAAGGTGTCCCCCACCACCCCACCAAAACCCTCCAGATGTGAAGTCAAGCCTCTTGCTTCATGGGGAGAAAAACTCAAGAGTCTTAGAGAAAATGAATTAGTGTTCACTCTCGCACTGAGGGACCAATCAGAATTGGGGGACAAAACATAATATGAGGTTTAAGAAAGCTGACAGGATTTGTTCCTATGCCCACTTTTTTCTTCTGCCACAGAAAGAGACGTGAGAGGCCTGAAGCCAGTGACTGATACTGGCTTCACGTTAAAATTGCCGTCACTGGAGATTTAAAATTCTTTCTTTTGGTTTTGCCAATGTAGACTCCAACAGAAGCGACTCTTCCTCCAGAAACAGTCTCAGCTGCAGGCCTACTTTAACCAGATGCAGATAGCTGAGAGCTCATACCCACAGCCAAGTCAGCAGCTGCCCCTGGCCCACCAGGAGACACCATCGCCATCACAGCAGCCCCCACCGTTCAGCCTGGCCCAGCCCCTGAGCCCCGTCCTGGAGCCTGCTTCTGAGCAAATGCAGTACAGCCCCTTCCTCAGCCAGTACCAGGAGATGCAGCTGCAGCCCCTGCCCTCCTCGCCAAGCCCTCAGGCACACTTGCAGCAGCAGCCACCACCGCCACCTCCGCCGCCTCCACCACCACAGCAGTCTGGAGCTGCCCCAGCACCCCTACAGTTCTCCTATCAGACTTGTGAGCTGCCAGGCGCTGTCTCCCCTGAGCCAGACTATCCCGCTCCCTGTCAGTACCCCGTGGATGGAGCCCAGCAGAGCACAGTGGCAGCACCAGACTGTCCCAGGAGCTCAGGACTGCAGGAGGCGCCTTCCAGCTACGACCCTCTAGCCCTCTCTGAGTTCCCTGGACTCTTCGATTGTGAAATGCTGGAGGCCGTGGACCCACAGCACAGCGGCTATGTCCTGGTGAATTAACCTCAGCACAGGAAGTGAGGCAGGTCGAGTGTAGGAAGAGTGTGTTTTTATTTTTATTCCAGCCTTTTACATTTAAAGCTTATTTTCCTGCCCTCTCCCTAGGGGGAAAAATCAAGTTGCCCAACTGGAATCAGAGGGCCTGGCCAGGCTGATGTTGCTTCTTCCTGGCTCCGTCCCACCGGAGTTTTCTGTGGCAAGTGCTGGAACACAGTTGTAGGCTGACGCCCTCGGGTCAATGGAGCAAACTCCCATGGGAGACACTGACTAGTGTTTTTATAAGAAGACGTCTAGACCTAGGTTTTATCCAGAACTACACCAGTTATCAAGGAAAACCTTGGTGAATGCAGGAAAACTGCATGCTATTCATTATAAGTGGGGAGAAAGACAGTATTTTTCACTGAAGCCAAGGAACAACATGTTGCCTAAAGGCAAATCAAGGACACATAATGAAATCGATGAGCAGAAATTAGAGTTGTACTTTGTCATTGAAGCGTAAGTTCAAAGCTGCTGCTGAAGTTGTCCCCAAGACCATCACAAAGCACTGGGGTGTGAACTTTGTTTCAAGGGCCACCAAACACCAGCTGGTACTAACCCCGGAGAATAGTGGTCGTCTCCATGTGGGAGCAGGCAGCACACCTCTTCAGAAGGTGCCCTGGGTTACAGACTCAGAGTGTCCTTGGCTCCAAAGATGTCCCCTGTAGAATCCCCCTCCCCCCATAGTGGAGATGAGAAACTCGAGAAACCATCAAGAGCAGCAGCCCTGGGCCAGGGGAAGACAGGCTCTTCCTACAGAGTGTATGGTGGGGACTTGTGGTTTGGGCAGCTGGTCATCAGAGAACCTAGTGGCTCTTTTACAGTGTAATAACTACTTTGACTTCACACTGTATGTTGCTAGTAGTTTATTGAGCTTTGTATATTTGGACAGTTTCATATAGGGCTTAGAGATTTTAAGAACAAGAAAAATGAACTTATATTTCCCATGTGAAGTGGTAGTGCTGTGCCTTTTCCCCCCAGATCACGCTTTAATTATTTCTTTTCTGTAGAAACCAAGTTTTCCATTTATATCAATGCTAAATCCAAAGTCACTTCAGAGTTTGCTTTCCACCATGTGGGAATTGTATTCTTAATTTCCTTAAAGTTTTGACTTGTAATTAAATGTTCAAGTATTACAGCAATATTCAAAAACCACAGATGTGTTAACCACTTAAGCAAATCATCTGCCAAACTCATTATATTACTAATAAAACTTAACCATTACAATTCATTCATCAAAGTAAGTAAAAAATAGGCGCTACAGCTAGTCAACTGTGTACCTAGAAGGAGCAATCTGTCATTTGGACAATAACACGCAAGTGTGACAAATTCAGTATTATTTACAAAGACTGTCATTTCTGTCCTTCAGAATGGCTTGTCCTATCTGCAGATGAATGCATTAAGCACAAGCATCTTCCTTAAAGCACAAAGAAGAGAGACAGATACTACATTGATGCTGCATCTAGGAACACCTTTAAGTTGCCTTTCCTCTTTGTAGTAATTGTCTAGGCAGGCGAGAAGGATGGACTGTCTCGGGAGGTCTGTTCTGCCCCCTAGCCTAGGCCCCGCCAGCATTGGTACCTTGAGCAGTGCTTGCTCCCGGCCCCCCTGATGCCGGGATGCTTTGCAGGGGTGCTCTGTGGGGGGCTGGACCCTGGTGTTAGCCAGAAAGGGTACTAGGGAGGACTGTTGCCTTTGTGAGTTAAGAATACACAGTGGCAGTCCAGGAAGAATGAATCGTGTTCCTTCTGTGCATTGTTTATTCTTCCTCATGGTTAAGATTGATGATTTCTTCATGAAATAGATATTTCATTTAAGAGGTCCTTCCATTAAGGTCTCTGATCTGTTTTAAGTCTTTGCAAATACCTAGTTCTAAAACAGCTTGATTCATTTAGAATGAAGGATGTTTTTCCAAAATATACTATTGAAGTGCTGTAATATTTATGAAACTTAAATGCCTTCCCTGTTGAAAAAGGAGGCCACTCATTTCACAGTTCGGGAATGGCACAGTTACAGATGGACTTAGACACCTGCACCAATGAGGCCGTAGGCCTTTTAGCCCAGGAGGCCTCGGAGCTGTGGCGGGATGCTGAGGCCGGCTGCGGGGCTGCTGGAGGTTAAGAGGACCTGGAGACAGACATGTGTTAGGGACAGACTGGTGGCTCAGATGCTTACCTGGGGAATAGCATGACCTGTCTGGCTGGACCTATGTTGTAAGCTCCTATTTGCCTTTCCCATTTCAAGCAGAAATCAATAAATTCCATAACCACCTGCATTTACTGAAATGTGAGCTGGTGGGAGGAGACTGGTCCTGTAGGTCAGTCAGGTGCTGTTTTCACAGCCCTGTCTGGTCATCTGTGTTGCTCTGTCCCCTAATTAGTGACCTGTATAAGCTTCCAGGCAGTTTTCACAAACACTAAAGTAACACTAATAAGAAGGCTTAATACCACTCTTTGTGAGAGGCTGCTTTGAAATGACTTTCCAGTCTGTTTCTCATTAGCAGTGTGTACACTACTGTATATAACCATTAGCTTTATTATCTTGTAAACCAGGATCCTCTGAAGAGACTTCAGTGAAACGAACATGAGGTAAAAATTTCATCATTCGGCAAAAAGTGCAATATGTGTGGTACTTTATTTTTTGTTTGTGCTCTTTTTTTAATCCAGGAGTATTAGTCTCTGCTTCGGGAAAAATGCACTAGTTCTGCAGTTCCCAGCTGGGCAAGTGTGTCTCTAGTATTTACATGCAACTGATGTGCTGGTCCCTGTAAGGCAAATAGAACGGGTTAGCACATTGGAAAGGGGGTGGGTGTCCCATTTTCAAACTCCTGCTGAGTGACGCTGACCATCCCCAGCTGCCCCCTCCCACCTCTGCCCTCTCAGGCCTGCGGTGGCCTTGCTCCCTTGGGAGCAGAGAAAGGGGCAGAAGGCTCACCAACTACCCTAAACTATCACTTCATGAGAAACACCTGGGTCCCACAAAGGGAGGAGCAGGAAATGGAACTTGCTCTGATAGGAACGAAACCCCTTCCTTTCCATATCAGGCTGCCTCCTAGGAAAGAGTCCCTTTCTCCCTCTTCCTGTTTGCACTGTGTGCTGAGTTGGTTAGGTGGGACTGACTGGCAGGAGCCTGGGATTGGGACTAAAGTCTGCCCTTAACCTCAGAGGCCCCAGGGTCGTGCAGGGGGGTGGGGGGGGAGGCAGGGGGTGTGTGGGAGTATGGCTCTCCAGCCGACTGAGCTGCAGAAAGGACCCCTCGAGACACTGGGCTCTCCCACTCTGCCCCTACACTGAGCAGTACCTTAAAGGGGGGACTCGGTGAGAAAAAAATTCTACCTAATTGCTAGGGCTGGGAAGAAAGGTGTCTTCTCAGCTAGAGAGTGATTGGGCGGCCAACCAGAAAGCAGAAAGTAAGGAGAGGCGGAAAGCAGCAGCCTCCCATTAGAGTTGGCCGGGGGCCCCAGGGTGTGACAACAGGAGCAGCCCGACCGCGTGCGTGCTGCTCGCACCCTGACAAAATGAACGGCTCCCTCTGCGGGGTCCTCAGATCCCCAGTCAAGTCCTGAAACATCGGGTTCTGTGTCGGGGTCAGAATTCTCAGCTGTGGGTTACATTTAAAAACCTATGTCTACTGACAGTCATACTTCATAAGCTCCATGTTGCTTTAACACTCCAGGTAACTTTTTCACATTCCTCCTCCTTCAGAGACAATGCATAAGGTCTTTAATGACACTGGTCCCCGGGACCAGCCAGCCACCCCTGAGCGGGGCTGATCTTGGCTGCATCTGCACCATAAACCCGGCAGCCCCTGTGCCTCCTCTGAAGCCACCTGAGCTGCTCGGTGTCTTTGTGCCTGGACATCAAAGGTAAATACTAGAGAACAGGTAGTAAGTTGGGGTCATTGCACAGGCAGAGGTATTTGATCATTTCGTTCCTTCTGGAAATTTTGAAAGAACTTATCTTCAGAGTGATGTAGGGGAGACGAGCAGTACTATCTGCCTCTGTTTCTAAATTGGACCCAAAGAACTTTTTTAAATTTATGTATCCCTTCTCACAGGTTCAGCAGTGCAGTCCTCCCCGGCCTGTGGCCCTGGTTTCAGGGCCCTTCCTTTCAGCCTGTGGCTCCGGGGAAGCAGCAGGGTGGACCGGGCAGACCTCCTGGGGCTCCTTTTGGCCCCGGAGTCCCTGGTCTAACAGTGCTCCTCACACACTGGTTTTATTTTTCCCCATTAAAAAGTAGCCTGGCTGATTGCAGGAGTTTATAGCCACCCTAGTTGTAGCACCATCTTATGCCCACACCTCATGTGGGCAGACTTCAACACATTTCACAGAAGTGGGCACACAGGATTGCACAGATTGAGAAACAGGCAGCAGCAGTGCCTCTGTACTTAGCCAGCCGGTGAGAATTCTGACTGTTCCTGCCCAGATACTCAGCTTGCCTGTCCCAACCAAGCGCTTTCACAATAATCTCTCCTAATCCTCACAGTTCTCCGAAACTGGTCGGGCAGACAGAGTCCTCATTTTTTGTAGCTGAGGAAACCACGGCTCTCGGAAGTCTGTGTGACTTGTCCGAGGGCACCACACTGGCAAGGGGGGACACAGCACAAGCTCTGGGGTTCCCTGGCTTCTCACTGCATATCCTTCCCCATCATCAGTGGTAGGGAATTCTTTTCATGAGCAAACAGCTAGATATGCAAAGCCCCCATCTTGGCTAAGCACTAGGTGAATGTGACACTGTCCCCTCAACCTTATTCTCCCCTGGATAGCTGCCTCCAGGTGACAGCAGCAGCTGCCCATGTGGCTCCCCCATGAACAAGGCGGAGGGAAGAGACACAGCCGCCCTGGACTGCCATCCGTCTAATGTCCGGTTAATTACAGAAGTTTAGGTTCACATTAAAGATGTTTAGTTTTTCAAGTTACACAACACAATATGGCAATTTCCTACAGAAGTACGTGCTAGAAGGACACACTCTTCCTCGACTGCCAAGGGGCCAGATTCCCAGCCTCCTGCCCATCCCCGCAGGCCAACAGACTCAACACCAGGGAAGGGGGCTGCTCAAAGGAGAGACCAAACTCAGCCTGGTCCTGAGGAGGGGTGTGCTGTTTTACATTTAAGGCCCTTCCAGTAAAAGTACAGATTAGACAGTTTTATGATTTAAAAAGTTAACATACTTTGATACTCTGTCCTCTCAGAGGCAAAGTGGGTAGGTAGAGCGAGCTTTAAAAAAAAAATAATAGCATCCTGGAAAAAGAGGGCCCCAGATTGCAGTAACGTTACATTAGCAAGTGCAGGTGACTGGGACTTGCCACTGGCTGTGTGATGCCCTTCTGTTCAAATTTACTCCACCAGGGAAATTCAAGTGGCGACATTGTCCCACGACTACTGGTAAAAGAATCTGCCTCCCCCCAAACCTCTGTAGGGAAAAGCAGCAGACAGAGAGGGAGGATTGCTTCCCTTTTGGGACTGCAGTTTAAGAAATAGAAGTGATAGAGATATTTGCACTTTGTAGAAAAGGCAAGATGATTTGCTTATTTCTGAAAGGAGAAGGGTGGTTTCTGCTGGATGTTTGGTCTGTAAAAGAGTTACTTCTCATAAAGTTAATCTAATTGTAGTTTTTTTTTCTGTGTGCTTTTTTCTTTTAATGACTAAGGAATAAATGGTGAGAGTTCAATAGCTTTGGTATTTTAAGTGCAAATCATAATAGTTCCAATGTGAAAAAAATCAAAATGTAACCTGTCACTCAATGTTAGAAAATAGCCTAAAATGCAGTTTAATAAATGATCTTTGTATCAAACATTAATTTAAATGGGACAATTTTCTGCAAGAAAAATATACTGTTTTTACATTTCCAACACTCTTGAATTAAAATAAAAGCAACTTATTTTCTAAGAGCCTGGGTGATATGACTGTCAGGCGAGTGAGGCAGGGCCCCCACCTCACCGGGCCGGGGTGGGTCTTCTGAAGGCATGGCAGGCAGCTGTGCGCCCTGAGCTCTGGTCGCTAGTTCAGGCTGCAGAAAAGGGCAGTGGATGATATGTTCTCATTGACGTCAGCAGGGTAAATGATACCTGGCTCGGAAATGGCCAAGCACACATTAGCTGCTGCAGAACGCTGACGGAGGCACAGCTGACCGCAGTCCTGCATATGGCCAGGGCAGGCTGGGCGCTGCTTGATGCTCCTGGACTCTCACAGGTAGCCTGGCCAGGGACTCACCACGGGAGGGCTCAGGCATGTTGGGCTCGCCAAGGACAAGCAAGATGCAGGGCAAGGGCTGAGAACGAGGGGCCAGCAAGACACTGCTACTTATTCATAGTGACAGATCGGTAGGGCCTGCAAAAGACCTCGACTCACATGCACACTGTGGACCCCCACACAGGGACATGTGCCAGCTCAGTGCCCTCAGGTGGTGGAAGAATCCATTTGCCGAGGCGTTCAAAGCCACTCGTATGTTTGGGACTTGTCCTAGTGCCAGACCCTGAGTGAAAGGGCAGTATTAAATCCTACTTTCTGGCAGCAAATTCAATTAAGATTTGGTTTCATTCACTCAAGCCATTCCAACTGAGCCCATGCTGTAGAACTGAGACAGGCCCCAAACAGGGATCCTCTTCAGGCTGCAGTGGGAGCAGGAGGAATGGTGAGGGCAAGAAGCAAAGTGACCCGCAGCCTCTCCGAGACTTGTTCTGGCGTAGCACTCTTACTGGCGCTCAGCCCTGCCCCAAAATGACTGGTAGGCCCATTCGGCTATCCAAGAATTCAGTAACACTGAAAATCAATTGCACTTTCTTTTTCAAGGAAAGCACTCAATTTCAGTAATGATGTTTTGCAAACTTTCCCCTTTCCCACCATATTTCTCCATTTTTGTATTTGGCAAAAATAACAGACCTGCCAGTAGACTGTCCAGGACTTGAAGCCGTCAATAGGGCCCCTGACCTCTACCTTCTCTGGAACCCTACCTCAGTTCTGTGGCCTTCAGAACCAGGGGCTCAGCACAGAGCGGGGGAGTGGGCGGGGCTGCAGGACGAGAGCTGGCAGTGCCCACACTTGCAGGGGTGCCATGGCTGCAGTGACAGTGCCCCCAGCTTGTTGGCCACCTGCTCCTTTCCACCCAACTAGTTCTTAGATGGAGGTTTCACACATCCCTTTGATATGCTAATGAAAGCTTTGGCCCCTCTTCCTGAGAAATGTGCACAGACATTTTCAGGGGAGGGGTTGGTTCCTGCACCCTCAGGACTGTCCATGGACCCCGAGTTAAGGGGTCTCTAACTCCTGGCTAAGAAGAGCATCAGTGGCTCCAACTGCAATCCCTTGTGCTTTTCAGTTACTGATTCTCACAGGGCCCCTCCATGCTGAGTGTCCCAACCCCTTCTGTAGGATCCAGGAAAGGGAGGGAGGGAGGGGAGGCTCTGCCCCTTATCCCCACCTCCCCCAGCTCTGCCTGCAGCCCCAGGACACCTTGGCAGGAAGTTCTGGGCTTTGTGCACTCAATTCTGGGTGCCACATGGCTGCAAAATAAATCACCTGCACAGGCTACCACTGCTCTGCCCTTCTCATTTTAGCCCCAGCCTATGATGTCACTACAGAAATGGCAAGGCTGAGCAGCTCTAAAGGGAGGGGATTTAGTGCATGGCTCATACTTTGCAATGTCCCTTAGGAGACAGGTGTGGGTCTTAAGTGAAGCGAAGGTGTTGGACCCTTACCTCAGCCACTAGCCCTCACTGGCATATCTGTCCCCACTGGGATGAAGCCATGACCACAAATCACTGA